ACTTTTCTTTCTTTCTTTGATTTATGTATTTCACTTGTTGTACCCTGGTTCTCAAAACTAATTAAGGATAAGGGCTGTCCGAAAGTGGGGCTTCTCTTTAAACTGTCTCTTGTAAATTAGCGTCTCTTCTTTTACACCCCCCTGTAGCCTAGGGCACCCCCCTAGCGTCATTTGCCCATATTGGGACTCTTCTAGGACCTAGCCCACGCGAGCTAGACTCCGCTTGACGTTAAATAGCAATAAATAAATAAATAAATAAATAAAGTAAGAATTTAGTAAAATGGAATTCACGCTATTTACTTATATTAGCCTATCTGGACCATTCAAATACAGTAACACAAATTATTAGCTTTAGGAAAAACTATGAATTTTATAGTAGCCGAAATTTACCTAGAACCTGGAGCAAAACTCCTTGAAAGCTGAAATTGTTTTGTACAAGAAGTAGAATGGCACAATCTAGCATTATTATAATCAATATCTGTTAAAAGGCTACGAACAACAAAAGCCTGTAGACAGAAAGTGCCATCAGATAGATACTAAAGCTTTATGATTAAGACGATTAATCAATAAGAAAAAAATATCGTAACTATAATACCAGTGGTTTACATTATAATTAGAATGAAGCTGATCTTTACAACATGCTTGGTCTACAAAGTTTCTTTGTTTATCCATATTAACACAGTTACTATTTGCACACCATAGTCGGCAAATTAAACTCTACACTCTACACTAGTTCTACCTTAGATATTTTCATAGAAGGATATTACACTGTCTTCAAGTATATCACAAAGAGAGTGTTCTATCAAGAAACACTTTACACCAAAGGAAATTGGCTTTCCCTAAGATTCACTCAAAGTACCTCTTACCTTCTATAGGCCTTGTGGAAGTTTGGTCTTGTGACGTTACTATCATATTGAATCTTGCTAAAACGAAACGCGGAGTTCTTATAGTACTTATGCTGAACATTAGTAGTGTTAATGTATTCAAGAAGCACTACGGTAATCTAGGAGCTCCAAATGTTCAAAAGGGATTTGGGAGACAGATGTCACTATGTCACTCTGCTTACTCATGAGTTCAAAGTTAGCTAAGCTTTATCTTCAAAAAGCCATGGTAGAGAGCAACGAAGCTTTTTATTAACACCCACAAACTCTTACTCCCTATACTAACCTATCCCCTCTTTGGCACCTCAATAGCCCCCAATTCAACCCTCCATTATTGAACCTCTAGTTTTATTATAAGCATGTAGCACCCACCTACACTGTCACACAAAAGATTCCCCTTCCTTTTCCCTCACCATTTGAAAACTCGCTACACAACCCATCCCCTATCCCGCAATCAACACCACAAATAACACCCAATCATCAAAACCGCCATCAAAATTCTGTGGTACAAAGAACCCACATCCACCAAAATAACCAGATAGCGGGGAGCACCGCATCTGCCATCAGATAACCATACCCCACTTTACGACATCCAATCACGAGTGGTATGAGGGAACGGAGGGAGCCGTTGATAAGATTGATACAGATTTTGTTTTGTGTGATGGAGATATATGTGAAAAGATTTGAGAAATGGAGGAATGAGGAGGTGAGAAGGAAATTATGTTTGAAATGCAGGTACAGGGTGGTGGGATGGGTGGATGAGGTATGTTGTATGTGTTACATAGTGGGGAATTTGTATTTGCTTCGACTAGGTAGAGGAGATATATAAATACTTGTGTTTAGCCTCATCAATGTAACCTCTCATCTCAGTCAAGATCTCAAACTCAAGACTTTAAGAAGAGACACCTCACCTCTCCAACACCCCATCTCAAAACCAAAACTCCATAACCCAACACACCCACCTCAAAACCCCAACCACAATGACCCCAACAAAATACACCACCCGCACCATCCCCAAAATCTCCCTCCACAACTTCCCGAACCGCATCCCCGAAATAACCTCGCAACTCATCCACGCCGCAGAAACCGACGGTTTCTTCGTCCTAACCAACCACTCCATTCCCCCCTCCCTCATAACCTCCCAATTCGCCCTCTCCAAGTCCTTCTTCTCCCTCCCCGAACCCACAAAAGCCTCCATCCCCTTCACACACGCCAACACCGGCTGGGAATCCCAAGCACAATACCGGCCCTCCAAGGGCCAGCCCGATCAAAAAGAGAGCTACCAACTGCAATACGGCTCAGCCATGGAAGGGAAATGGCTCCGAGAAGAGGAGTTACCAGGATTAAAAGAGGGATCATTGACGTTTATGAGGGCATGTCAGGAAGTGTCCGAGATGCTGATGTTATGCTTCGCTCGAGGCCTAGGTTTCGAGGATAACTACTTCAAGAAACACCACGACATCACCCGTTCCGAATCACAAACCGTCCTCCGACTCCTCCACTACTACACCATCAACCAAGACGTTCCCACCCCATTCTCCTACCACCGCGCAGGCGCACACGTAGACTGGTCCTTCCTAACCCTCCTCTTCCAACACGCAGGCCAGAGCGGACTAGAAATCTGTCCGGGGAGGGAAGTTAGCACCGCGTTTGGAACCGGAGATGTGTGGACGAAAGTCGAGCCGGAAGAGGGGGAGATTGTCTGTAATATTGGGGATTTGCTGATGTCCTGGAGTGATGACCGGTTTAAGAGTACGTTCCATCGCGTCAAGACCCCGGTGGATAGGGAGACGGATTATTTTGGGGAGAGGTTTAGTATTGCGTATTTTAATCAGCCGTGTACGGATTGTGAGATCCAGGGACCGGGGAAGAAGTATCCGATGGTTACTGGGAGGGAGTTTACGAAGAGGGCGATGGAGAGGAATTTTGCGGCGTTGAAGGCGAAGAAGGAGGAGTTGGGTGGGGAGAGTGTTTGAGTGGGAGTATATATATTTATATCCTCAATTCCGGTAATGGAAATACCCCACAATCAAAAAATTCTGCTCACGTAGTTGCCACGCTTAATTTGACATTAATTCACTTTAGTATTATACAGTACATCCATTTGTATATGTTCCCAGCATCAAAACCCTAGCGCCCTCTATGCATTTCATTCCAAACGTAATATGTCCGCCCAACCACCCAGCAGGCCCATATAAGCAACGTTGATCTCAATAATTAAGAATATATCCCCAACAACCCAAGCCAACCCAAGCTCTTATTTAGCAGCAACCTTAGTCTTCGTCGCACCACTCTTGACACGCTTAGCAGAAGGACGGTTAATATGACCCTCGGGAATCCAGCTCTCATCATAAGCCTTCTGTGCCAAAGCCCCAGTAGTCACAGCCGGCCCATCAGCGCCAATGACAGAGACCTGATCCTTTGGAGAGACAGCCTTCTTGGTGCCCAACGAGGAACGCTTTGCGCGCTCTCCACCAAGACCACCGCGCTTGGTTTGAGGGAAAAGGGTCTCGATCCAGGTCTTGTAGACGAAGTAGAGAGTTCCGACGAATCCGGCCAAGAGAACGAGGTACAAGAAGATGCTGCAGATAATTAGCACTTGAATCTTGGGATTTGCGTTGTAAAGCCAGGGTAGTAGGTCTGTAGTTACATTTGAGGATCAAAAATACTAGTAGCAGCCTCAACTACACTAACCGTCTCATTGTACGCCTGAACCTGATACACCTCCCCCTTCTTACTCGTCACCACGGCAATAATGTTCAAGCGCAAATCGGTGGGATGAAGGTCGGTAGTAAAGGTAAACGGCAGAGTCTGTTTCTCCCCAGCCGGAATCTCAACATCGTAACGGGTCCCAGTGATATTGCGGACGATCAACGAGCTAGGATGAGCTCCCGTCTTCAAAGGTTGCAAACTAGACAATGCGCCGCCGATGACTGCGACTTGTACTGGCTCCTTCTCGCTGTTGGTGAACTCGAGGAGAGCTTGTGTCGCGTGGCCATTGACGAGCTTGACGCCGAAGACTTCAGCTTGTGGGAAGGATGCAGAGACCGAGACATTGAGGTTAGGTAGTGGCGCAGGCGTCTCGACCTTTTCTTCCACCTGGAGGGAGCTGGTTAGCTTTTATGAAGCTCTGAGGTTGTTTGACATGGGAGCTGGAATTTACCTTTGCATCAGCAGCAACGCCTATCGCGCGAAGTGCAAGCAGAGCGAAAGCTGCGTATCTGTACATTGCCATATTACCGGTGAGATTAATCCTGAGAGATGATTGCCGTGAGTCTGGAGGGAACTTGTTTGAAGTTCAGAAATGGTTCCAATTGATTCTTTGGTGCTCTTGCAAGCTGGCCTTACCAATTGACGCTAGGCCCAAGTATACCCCTGTGTGCGTCGTCATAGTGTCTCCACTATTCTGTGTAACCACCTGGTCGGCTGAGCCTTCATAATTCACTGATTCTGATTTTCACCGTAAAAACGCTAAGATGATGTTGGATAATATAAATTTCAAACATCAAATTGAAAAGAGAGGTTCTCCAACTACCACCCTCCGTCAAAAAAGCCATTGAGGACTACTGATCATTCTTCTCAGTATTCCATCGGGAACCTATTCTCTATTGGCACAAGAGATACACGAGAGAGTTGATTTGGATTCGGATTTCCTATATGTGATGACTTCACTGTGATAGCTCACTTTGCCCAGCAAAAAGACCAAACAATTATCATCAATGAAACCAAAGCCTAGGAAGTCCATTCATATCCTAGCTTTGGGTCTCCATTTAGCATAAGGATGTTCCTCTCCATCAGGAATTAGATGGTCCACAGCTCTAGTATTCAGCAACCCAGGATGGACCTGAGAAAGATCAGTAACACCCATCATCCTCATCGTGGTTTCCAGTTCATCTTTCAAAACTGAAAACAGAACAAAATCAGTATAACCATCAAACTCGCTTTGGAGAGGAAGACTTACTCTCAACAAACTTCTCCACACCCTCCTGCCCATAATTAAGACCATATAAAAACCCCCTCCCAATCCCCACACTCTTCGCCCCTAAACACAATGCCTTGAAAATATCCGTCCCCCTCATAATGCCCCCATCGACAAAAACATCTATCTTGTCAAATACTTCTGGACAGCATTTCTGCAACTCCAGCAAAACCAAAATCGTCGCCGGCGCCGTATCCAAACTCCTTCCTCCATGGTTACTCAGAATAATCCCCTCAACACCATACTCAACCGCCTTCTTCGCATCCATGGCAGTCTGAACTCCCTTCAAAACAATAGGTAACTTCGTAGCTTTCCTCAACCAAGGGATATCCTCCCAACACAAACTAGCATCAATATACTTCCCCATGATCCTCCCAAGCGAGCCGCCTTTCGCATCATTCTTCGCCTTCTGTCCACTCATAGGCGTACTCACACTCTCATCAGCCCTCACCCTCTCATCCGCCTCCCTCTTCCCAATAACCGGCGCATCAACAGTAACGAAAACCGCTTTACATCCCAACTCCTCAACATGCTTCAACAAAGCCTCACTTTTACGCCTCTCCTTATCAACATACAGCTGAAAAAAAACCGGCAACTCCTCCCCTCCAAAATCCCCATACTCCCCCTTCCCCTCCACACTCTCCAGAATCTCCCTTATCGAAAACGACGCACTAGTCGAAACACACTGCGGCACACCAACCTTCTTACACCCCCTCGCCAGCGCCTTTTCTCCCTCCGGATGCACGAGTCCCGCCATCGAAGCGGGGGAGCAGAAAATGGGCACGCGCATCTCTTGCCCGAGCATGGTGGTGCTTGTGTCTACATCTTTTACATTAACGAGGATCCGTGGACGGAGCGTGATCTCGGAGTATGCTGTGTGGTTCCGCGATTTGGTGTGCAGGTCGGTGGCGGCTGAGGAGTAGAATGCCCAAGTCTTTGGTGTGAGGGTTTGTTGGGCGGACTGGAAGAAGTCGTGGGTGCTGATTAGGGTGTCTAGAGGTGCTTTGGGTGGTGGTGACATGGCTGTTGCCTAGGGGGTTGAAGAGGGGTGAGCGGGTGATGTTGGTTGTGCTTTGTGAATTGAGGACTCCGGGGGGTTTGAAGCGGCGGAACTTTTGATAAGAGGTTTTCAACCCTTAGTGAGTGTTGTAGGACGTATCTTGATGATATACAACCTCACGTTATCTATCGAGCCATTAGTGGGGTCAATGTGTTTTAGGAGGAGGGGAGTAAGATCTACCCTTCTTTCTTGATTACCGCAAGTTTCTGCAGCGACTGTGTGATTCGGAATTTAGGTGTGACGTCAATTGTCGTCTGTAAGTCTTCTTCAAGAATGTGTGCTTAAATCTAATGAGTGTGGTTTTCTAAAGCAATAGGTAGATGGTTGATGTATTGCAAGGTTAACAGCGGATGATTTGGAGATCTTGCTTTGCAAGACGACGGAGGAATTGAGACCGGTACTGTAGATCTGAAATGGTTGAATTCAATTGAGGGTTGTCTACTTGGTACATAGAATTGATTAATAATGATGGCTAGATGTACGAGTAATGTCAAAGATGAATGGATTGTTGCTGTTCTTTTCAAGTCCTCGGGGCAATCGGTACCGAAATCGCTTGGCAATCGCTTGGTGGGGTTGGCCGGGCCGGGCCGGTGGCCGGGATATCCGGAGTTCTTGTTCTACTTCTTTTACTTATAAAAAGCTTCTATGTCTTCCTCTGGAATACAAACAAAACATTTTAACGCCTGATCTACTCAGCCAGAAAAACTTTAAAGGTTGTACCTATCAAATAACCAGCAAAGGAAGGCTGAAAACATCTTCCCAGTCGTCACCAATTAATGGAAGAAAAGCCACAGAAACCTTGGCTTCAAAATATAGATACACATCAGTCATCGACCCAATCTCGGCTCTGAGACTCGCAAGCTCCCACAGGCGATGAATCGCCAGGAGATCCAATTGAGTTCAACAGGTTCGTAGAGGGCACCGCGTACAGGTGTTGAGTCTTCGCCCTCCTGCCTTCACCCAATTCTTCACAGCTATTACCGTCTCCTCACGAGTTCAGACAATGCAACATTCTGTTATCGAACGTCTACGATTTTTGCAGAGGGTTTTCGATGCTGCAATCAGAATATTGACACTATCTTAGCTCGGAAGCAGGCGGCATTGTCCATCTCGGAGTCGCCCAGTGAAATAGGTGCTTTTGACGCTTTTGATCGATTTGTCGCTAGAATATGCATCAAACACATTGCGGAAGTTGATGCCGGATTCTGAGATCTTGAGCGTTGAAAGCACCTATCTTACTGTGGTTTCTCCGGGATTTCCAAACTGGCTGCGGAAGGAGGAGTTTGGGTAGACATTCCCTCGTTACTTCACTGCAGTCACCCCCTATCCTGGATCCTCCCATGCGTGGTCAAGATTCCGTTGACGCTGTATGGGAAGAACCTTCTCCTGAGATATCCTCGCAACGACTGGATTGCAGCAACTGACTTCCATGTCACAAAATCAACGATATCTCGATTGCCACCCCATAAATGCCGATCATCAATTCTTCCCACATCATTTTTTGGTATGGAGTTATCGCTTCTCTCGTGGCAATGGACATCAATCAGCTTTCTTTCGGAATACTGGTCAGAATTCGAATGCTGGTCGTCCGAACCTCTGGCTTCTTCAATGCTGTCTAAAACGGCATGGAATACGTCGCTGGCAATGCAATTCCCAAGCCTCGCGACTTTCTCTTTGGCTTTGGGACAAAGGGCAAGCTGTGCATTGTATGAGACTCGCTCTTGAACCGTAATTCACTTTGCTGTGGCAGCGTCATAGCCCCCTCCTTCTGCTTTCGATATCCCTCCCACGCTGATATAAAAACCATGCCCGCATTGACGAACGCAGGTACAAGAAGAAACATCTCCGACAAGGGCGGCTGTGCTGCAACCAAGACGAAAACGAACATCGCCGAAGTGGATAGTACGTATTTCCACAATCGTCTAAGATCGTTCAGTAGACTCCTCTTGATGATTTACAACAGAGCCACACACCTTCTTGTCGATTCCAAGTTCGTCAAAACGACGTAGAGAATGATCAGGAGCCATAGCAGATAACTTCTATTCAACTCAACTCGTCAGTCCAATTCCTCTTGGAGGGTTTTGAGACCTGGTTGAAAGCGTACGCCAATACGAGCCATTTCATAGCTACCAAATCTTTTTGTGTCCAAAAGATCAGAATGAGTAGCGCGGACGCCCCTTGCATAGCATATGCACAAGACTGAGTCCATGAAAATTTCTCGCTCTCTTGTTGAAAGAGGGCTAGAGGAGGCTGGCAAATGCATTGTATGGTGGTATCTTGAGCTCGCAGATGGCGATTATTTCGAATTCTGGAATTGCGTCTGTTGGTGCTGGTGTTGATTTGTGTAGTGGTTCTTGTGTTTGTGTGTATATTTGAATCGATGTTTCTGTCCATCGTGTAATTTAATAATGAGATAGATGAGAAGAGTTTTTCATCGCTGTAAACTGATCGCGATGCAAATACACCAGGGTCTGACGTTGCATTCTGTAAGCATTTAGCCTCAAAGCGTTGCTGCCCAATCCTTCGACATCAAAATTCTCCTCCTGGAATATTGGTTTTCAACTCAACTTAATCTCAGTTTCTTTTTTCTCGCCCTCGACGATCAGCAAACAAGTGTCATGTCCTTTGATGCAACAACTTTAAAAGCCAACTTGGATCAAGGTGCGTACAGTATTATATCCCCAAACGACGAAGGTTCTCATCATGAACTGTAGAATCTCAGTATCTCGATACTCAGATCCAATCGTCGCCTACCGGCAGGGCCCCGAAGTTCGCAAGCGCATTCGGTGCACTACTCACGAGCGCCATTCTTGCAATTCTTCGACATGAGGTAAGCTTTTCCGGAAATTCCCTCCTCTAATCATTGGCCGCGTATTCTTCTCTTAATCGTGTTTCGCTAACCCGCCAACGCAGGAATCCCTCAAACTACTCCTCCCCAAGCAATGGACCACTACTTTCGCACCTCTTCTTCCGCACACGGTCCTCTATCGAGCGGTGGCTAGTACTATAGCAGTCACTATATACTGTAGTTGCATTGTGAATCTCTTCGCGGAGCCGAGATGGAGGGAGAGATACCTGCCGTTGATGTGTTGGATGGTGATAGTGGTGATTGGGATGATAGTGTTGGTATCTAAAGATATCATCGGGACGTTTGTGGATGGACTGATGGGTTTTGTTGATTTTTGTGTTGTACTTGGTTTGGGTATGGAGATTTTGATTTAGATACGATCTTGCAGATTTTGGATTGGAAAGTGGTAAGGGGGTGGGGTTGTTGTGGAGAATATTGATCATTGACTATCTACTTCTTTATCTTCTGACAGTTCGGGGATTTTTACGTAGATCAAGGTCGTGCACGGCTTTTTTGCTGTAAATCTTTGTTAGTACGGGGCTTTAAAGTGCTAAATCTTTGTCAAGGAACCCCCCAGACTGTCTAGGAGATATACGTTATGTTTGTTGGGATATTAGTTTATGAGCTATTTGGCCATAATACCAAGTGGATTTGGAAATTGGGATTACGCTTTGGAAATACCGAAAAACTTGGATATCAAGGATAACCTCTGTTATATCCTTACGAAACTTGCCCCCTTGAATTTCCTTATATCCAGGTTTTTCTATACTCACCCAAAAAAGGTCTAATAAATAGACTACTTAAGCACCCAATTTTGTATCCCGAAATTCATCTTACCGGTACTTAAGCACCCAATTTTACATCCCGAAATTCATCTTAGTCAGAATACCTTCCCATGGATCTGCGAAATCCACCTTGGCATCAGGAGTTCCCGGAACCTCACCGTATTCTCTTCCGCAATTGAGGACTTTCTTCATTTTGCATTTCCCTAATTTTTTAAATAAAACTTTAAATAAGGAAGAGCCCTTCTGATGAATAACAAAAGTACCAGAACTCTTTTGTCAAGGCTGTGTAATGGTTACCGGGAAAAATTCGACTTTTGCAAAGTTGAGATGTTTGCTGCATACTGAGAATTGGTTTTCTGCGATGAGCACTTTTCCACTTCTTTTAGAATTATTTGGTGATGGAGTTATAGTTTAACTCTTTGACTTTACGGTAAGCACGTAACACATTATTGTCGAGCTTCAGAGTTCCATATCATATTTTCCCCACAGCGGATATTTCCCGATACCGAGAGATTTCTTATCGTTATTCACGGCGAGTAAGCAAATATACAAATTACGTCATACATCAACATAATATCCCACGAATTTCGCTCTCTAGCATTCCTTTCAAACTTGGTCAATGTTCCTTGGACTTCAAGATGTTTTGAGGTTTATACTGATGTCAGTCTCAGCTAATGAGAAGGCTTCGTGTGCGGTAGGTTCTTACTCCGAAACTACCTCGTCCCAGGCGAAATAAATGTAACTCTTGAATACCTTGATGGTCGACGGCGAAAGAAGCTTCTTTCTATCAACCTTTCCATAATTTCACTTGGAAGTCATGCAAAACCTTCAACTGGATCTCTGTGTTGAACTTTGTTGACGTTGATTGCCCTCGCTGGTCCCAAGCTAATCTCCGTCTGTCGGCAGTGTACTGTAAATTTCAACTGCAATGTCATTCCGTACTCAGTGTGAGCAAGAATCCAAATCAGTCATATATCCCCGAAAAAATAGCCGCACACGTCTAAATAAATACACGTTCACTTTATACAACAAAAGCTATGCATAGTGTATAATTCATATTTCATATAATCATATAGTCCGGCTACTAATCCTAGAATCTATCCAGCATCTCAACATTAAAAAATCACGCAGCTTTCGAAGAAGAGGCCCCCTGTTTGAAGCACAGATCGCTCCACTAAAACATAATCAGTCCCATATCACTCACGAAAAGAAGCCATCGACAACAGGCTCAATTAGAAAGACTTACGGTTCCGGCATCAATATTAGAATCTATACTGTCACAAAAGGAACTTCCAGTGACAAACTCTCGAAACACGCAGTCGGCACATTGTTTATTTGCAGCATATTCGTCGCATGCGTTTTTAGTGAGTTGAAGGGCGTAACCTTCTTCCTATAGGAGAAAAGGGTCAGTCAGGATGTTTCTCTTCTTAGAAGATATAGGGATCTAGATAGATGATGAGAGAAAAGACTAGATGACCAAGTCGTAGGAGGCTGGGTCGAACATACTCCCTTGTCATTACTTGTAAAGCATTTGCCGGTGTCGAATTTGCCGTTTTTGCTGGAATTCGTGTTAGATTATTTCCTTGTCTTTTTTGGTTTATTTGGTGTACCTACTCTTCTGCCAAAACTGCGGCGACAAAGAAAGTGATGGCGATAGTAAAGAGTTGCATTTTTTCAGGTGTTGGTGGATGTTGTGTTGTTGTATGTGTGCGAATTTTTCGTGTGTAAAAGAGTATGAGAGTCAGTCTCTGGAACTATGGTAAGTTCTCGTTATATATTCTTTTGAAGTCTAAGTTAGGTATCAGCCAAGTGGTGATCATGCAACGTGAACGTTGTATATTTCTTTCGAATATCAAAATAGGTGTAAGCCAAGTGGTGATCATGCGACTTACGAAGTACTACTGGTACTGTAAAACTTCGGTATTCTTTGAGAGTTGTGGAGACCAGACTTTGAATTACATTTTATGTACAGAAGAACACCACAATTTTGTTACACTCGTCACTACTTGAACGTTACGTGAAAACAATCTGTGTCTTGAGTTGGTGAATTAGATTGATAAGTTCGAAAGGAGTTGCGAAAAAACCATAGGCCCTGTTTTCCTAGAATCATGAACCGCAACATTCGACAATTGGCATATCCAACATTCACAAAATGCCTAATTGGGCTGAAATACAATGACTGAACTCTCGACTCTATTAAAATCGTTATTTTTCTACTCTTGAGGAACAGCCAAGGATATTGTCCCGGAACAATGTAACATAATAAATAGGGCGCTGGTCAGGGGGACATGATTCATGAAGCAGTATCCAGGTAAAATTGTCGCACAATATTCTCATACTGGATCAGAAGACTTTGCCAAAACAACAATTTGCTTGGACCAAAATATCGTCCTCAATATTTTTAGGAACGCATTCGCATACCCCCCTACCCTATAACTTTAGGCTCCTGGTACTACTGTACGGAGATCGCGGTCAAAAGTTATGTCAGTTGTGCCCTATTTAGTGAGTGTGCCCTGTAGGGGTACCCTGAAAAGAGGCCGTGAGTGCCCTGAAGAGATCTTTAGGCCTGAAATCCACTATATTTTAGCGATTGATCCGCTACATACACAGGGCATCTGAGGGCCCTCTTAAGCGACGAGTGTGCAGAGAGCCGAGCCAGCCCCTTTACTTTACCCCTGCTAATACCCTGTTGTAGGCCTACAGGCCCCCCTGGAACCCCCTAGTGTCAATCAAACCTTGATTACAGGGGTGTTCTAGCCAATTAGGGCCTTGGATTCAGGGCACAGGCCCTAAATAGTGGATAACTGACTTGACTTTTGACCGCGCTCTCCGTACCGATCTCAGAATAGGATTTAGGGGAATACCAAGGCGCACAGCCACGCTCTAGCCACACCGAGAGCCGCTTGCGGCTCTGTCTACCTACGCACCGGCGAAAACAACTCCGCGCGACCAAATCGATTTTTTGGAAATAAAACTATAACCAAAGGTGCTACCACTATATAAATAGATGTATTTAACGTGTACCGAGGACTTTTATATATAAGGAAGGTCTTAGATAATACAAGCGATCCTACACCTGTTGTTAGCGCGAAAAATAATAATTTAGAGGAATAACGTAACATTCTTCTAAAAGAGGCTTATTGACTTCTCGAATATATAATACTAATAATTAAAAGTAAGAGCTAAAGACTACTTAAATTAGACCTGGTCGAATAATTTATAACATCTTTAATTAAATACTTTAAAAGAGAAAAGGATATACTATTGCTACTACTAATACTAGTGTCACGAATCACGTGCTAGCATGTGACGAGTTAGTCCAGACGGCGTTCTGACAAAACAGATACATCCAGAGTAGTTATACCATAGCAGTAGTTACTCAGGGTTGTTGAGTATCCAAGGATTTCATAGCATTCATAGTCACGTGACGAAACCGCGACAGCGCGACAAGCGAGTTGTCGACATTCAGGATTTGGAGAACGAAGGTTCTATATAAAACTGGCATGTCTGCCATTAGGAGTTTCGTGCTCAACTTAGTTATCAACTTAGTTATCAATCTTATCATATTAGTTTGACATCTTTGATACAAGTAACGAGTTCACTTCCAAGTGAACAACCCGATAATCTTCTTCTTATCATAGCATACTAACCAGCGAACACCCAGCCAAGTTTAGTTAGCCAGTTTGAGTATTCGTTACACTAACCCGGGGATTAAGAAATATAATATCCTATATCTCTAGAAACCGTAGTTATCTCTAATTAGTTTAAAGATATATAACCTGTGACGGAGCTGGATTTCATTTGACAGGATTTCATTCGCTTGGCCAAGCACGTGACGAGACTTGGCATTGGAACAACTTAAATAACTTCGCTCCTTTCAGATTCTCTTCTCTCTTTAGTTTGATTTCTTCGTACCTACGGTTTTAGTTCTAGCAATTGATTCAAAAGCTGTATACACTTTATCCTTTGTTGGCATCCGTGACAAATACTAGAATACTATAAGGATTACTTCTATTACCGATCCTATACCTCCTCTATAATATAAATAAAATATACTAGAAGAGAGCGGGGTATAAATATGAGGTAAGAGCCCGGTGTAACGAATCCTCAAACTGGCTAACTAAACTTGGCTGGGTGTTCGCTGGTTGGTATGCTATGATAAGAAGAAGACTATCGGGTTGTTCACTTGGAAGTGAACTCGTTACTTGTATCAAAGATGTCAAACTAATATGATAAGATTGATAACTAAGTTGATAACTAAGTTGAGCACGAAACTCCTATCTAATGGCAGACGTGCCAGTCTTATATAGAACCTCTGTTCTCTGTTCTAACTGTTGGATCGCCGGGGTCGCTTGTCTACCGAGTCGACCCAGACGACTGGAGCGCTCGTCGCTCCAGGCGACCCAACTTTGTCACGTGATACTAACCAAAGAAAATCCCTGGATCGCTTAGCTAGCCTAATCGATCCCACTTGCTATAAGAGTGTCCGATGGTGCTTGACCTGTCAGGACGCCGCCNTCGCTCCAGGCGACCCAACTTTGTCACGTGATACTAACCAAAGAAAATCCCTGGATCGCTTAGCTAGCCTAATCGATCCCCAAGACAAATAAAAAACGCGTAATATTAACGCGTTTTTATTATTGAATCACTCTATCATATCTACCTACTGAGCTCTTACTCCTTGCAAAGCGCAG